TAATGTGAATTTGGGAAAAAAAGAAATGAGTTTAATAAACAAAGTGATAAGTAAAGTGCATGGATTTTGTTTATCTATGTCTCGATTTATTTGTTGTTTTGTTATTATTATTATCTTTATTCTTATCATTACTATTATTATTCTTATCATTATTATTATTATTCTTATCATTATCATAATGATTGTCATTATTACTATTATTGTTACTATTATTATTATTATCATTATTATCATCATCAATATTATTATCATTATTATAATAGTTATCATCATTATTATAAATATTATTATCATTATTAATATTATATTCGTCATTACGATGACGAAGGTGGCTTTTTCACGCGAGAGGCCTTGGCGACCTCACAGAAACCCCTCTCCCTTGACCTGTCTGTGCTTCCCTTCTTATGGCGTCCTCCTCAGCTTTCTCTGCCTGCTGTGACGTCATCAAAGCATCTTGCTCTTGGGGGCGTTCAAAAACGGTTCTGTGGGCGGCTTAACCTCAAAGGCGATTTCCGTCAAGTTATTAGATTAAATTTATTCGTTGATGAGAATCAAGAAATGATACTATAAATAGATATTAGCAAAATGACCGTGGGACTGGCCATTACTATTAAGGTCTACTCAAATAGCCGTCTAAAAAATATAACTGAGAGGTAACAATAAATAAAAGAATGAAGCATCAACGGATTCTATAAAGGATATAATAGTTTCACTAATAATGGTATTGTAGACCAGGGGTGTCAGATTCAAAACCCTTCGAGGACCAATTTTCATTCAGCTACCATCTTGAAAGCCCACAAAGGTCCGTATCTACTCTACTTATTAGTTTTTAAATGGTGACAAATAGGACATTATGATCATCCTCCAATTAACCCACGGACCATGAGTATGGCACCCCTGGGCTATTTCATTCATCACAAATACACAATAATAGAAATAAAACTGCAAGAGTGTACGTGATAATCTTAGAAGATGAAGGACTGGCTTAATTAATCATGTAAAACGGCCAACCACAAGACTGAAAAAACATATGTGCCGCGGGCTGCATGTCTGACACCTCTGACGTAGACAATAATGGTTAGGAAGATAATGATATTGATAATAACAATAACACAATAACAATACAACAACAATAATAAAAATGATGACATTTATAACAATAGCTGTGCTAATAATAGCATAAAAGATAACAGTAATAATGGTGATAATAATGAAACAATAATAATTCCCAATAAAAAATATTAAGTGTAATAATAATGATGATAATAATGATGATGATAATGATAATAATGATGAGATAATAATAATAATAATAATAATGATAATAATAATAGTCAAACTAATCATAATAATAATCAAACTAATCATAATAATAAGATGATAATAACAATGATAAAATAAATTAATAACTAAAATATTTCTAGTCAATCAAATTGGAAACTGCGCTTACCGTTCCCTCCGTTTTCCACAACCGTGAAATCGTGCCACTGTCCCTTCTCGGTCTGACTGAGACTAAGAGAAGTTTCACGTGCGTCTTGAGGGAACTGAAGTCTTATCTCGTCTGTTTTTCCGGGCCACCAGTACCATGTGGAGGCTCTATCAAGAGGGATTCTGAATGCATCTAATTCGTGATTTCCGCATGGTGTTGCTGTTTGGATAGAGGGATATTATGAGATTTTAAAAAATATATATATATCATAATGATAATGATAATAACTGTGCCCTTTTGAGCCAAATATTTCATGTTTGAGCGGAAACACCATATTTGTTTCTCTGTATCGCTATTTTTTACCCGAAGAATTTTATTCGTAATGCGGAAGTTGTGTTTTTACATATACTTTTATTTGCAGAACATTTATCAGTCTTGTTTATTTTTCTATCTATTTACCTGTTTATCCATTCTTCAATTACTTTTAAATTTCAATGAGGAAATAAGACAGACTAACCTGACCCTGACGAAGTATTTCTGCATTTTTCGATGGTCTTGTCTGGACATTCTGTTGGAATTTTGTTTCTTCATCAGACATTAACTTACAAGCAAACTGCCACACAGGCATTTTATTTATATATGTATTTACATAATCTTCTACACTTGGGATTTAAATCATCCAGAGAAAAAATACAAGAAAAAGAAAGGAAGTTCAGGTAAAAAAAAATGAATTATTGTTCGGCAGTATTATATTACTGTTACTTATACTATCACTATTTATTTACTGGGTGATTTAAAGGCATTATTTAGCACTAGAGCATATTCTTAGGTGAATTTCGAGTAATTGCGGAATGTTTCGAATGGGTTATGAATGTAAAATCTCAGTGATGAAGGATGCTTTTCAAATACATGAACTATATATATTTTGTGTGGTTCCACGTTCTGTGCATTGCAGTTTTCTTTTATTCTGGTAAGGGGAAATGAGACATTTTGTGAAGATGTGTTTTCTTTAGTATAAGCTCTAACCTTTCCTTTTATCGTACCATGGGTTCTCTTCACCTGATTTTTTTA